GTATAGAAGATTTTTGAAGGCTAAAAAAAGGTTTAGAAGTGTTAGAATAGCTGTAGGAATCGAAAAAAAAATTTGGAGATTTTTGACGAAATTTTTTTTTGAAAATTTCTGGAAAATTTCTAAATTTTGGTGATTTTTTCGGTGAATGTTGAATTTTTCAGCGACAATTTCTGTCAAGTTTGAAGTTTTCGGCCAGCGGCCCAGTTTTCGGTGAAGATTTCCAGAAATCGACCAACTTTTCGGTGAACTTCCGACGAAAAACCCAAATTTCGACGAAAAATTCCAGAATCCGGTAAATATTCAATCGGAGTTCTTTGGCCATTTTAGAGAAAAGCGAGAGAAAAAAAAAAGAAGAGAGAGAAGAGAGAAGGTTTTTGTCGAAAAGCAAAGGAAATAGCCTTATATACCCTCCCGAAACGATGTCGTTTTTGCGTTAAATAACCCAGAGGATCCGCGCGTTTTGCCAAAATCTGACCCGACCCGAGTGTCGACCCGTTTTTCAACTCGTGCGTGTTCTGTCTCCCCGAGCCATTAGCCGAGCCGAGCCCTTTTTCGAGCCACTCCAGGTTTTTTTTTAATTAATTAATTAATTAATTAATTTTTATTATTAGATTAGGTTTATTTAATGTTCTTTTATCTTTATTTTATTTTTATTTTTGTTTTACTTTTCTTTTTTTTATTTTCACGTTTATTTTGTTTTATTATTTTATTTTCTTTAAATAAAATCCAAAAAATATTTTTGGGGAAAAGTTGAAAGTATCAATTTTCCTTAAAAATAAATTTTCAAAAAAATTTTTTTTTTTTTTAGGAAAAGTTGAAAGTATCAATTTTCCTTGAAAACCAAAGTTTCCAAAAAATATTTTTGGAGAAAAGTTAAAAGTATCAATTTTCCTTAAAAATAAATTTTCAAAAAAAAAAGTTTTTGAGGAACAGTTGAAAGTATCAATTTTTCTCGAAAATCAAAGTTTCCAAAAAATATTTTCGGAAAAAGTTGAAAGTATCAATTTTCTTAAAAAAATAAATTTTTAAAAAAGGTTTTTGAGGAAAAGTTGAAAGTATCAATTTTTCTCGAAAATAAAAGTTTCCAAAAAATATTTTTGGGAAAAAGTTGAAAATATCAATTTTCTTTAAAAATAAATTTTCAAAAAATAAATTTTTGAGAAAAAATTAAAAGTATCAATTTTCTCTGCATAAGAACAATCATTCTTTTCTTCATTTTTATTTTTTTTGTTTATGTTAAATAATCCGACGATGAAGCTTCTACAAGTGAAACAGTAGTTTTCTTGCATACTCTTGAGGTGAAGGGATTTTTTCAATTTTTTACTAAAAGTATTAGAGTCAATGGAGAATGATTTTCAATAGTTAATTACTTGGTAAAATTTTAAGGCTCATTGGATAACACAAATTTAAGCTGGTACCATCTTTTGATGGGTGTTATAAGGGTGCTATAACTTTCCTCACACGTAACCGAACTTTTGAACTCTGTTCTAGTTAGTAGACCCAAACCTATTCTTTTAAGGACCCTTAAACTTAGGTGTTCCATGAAAGGATAGATTACTTAGGTGACCAATCACACCTAAATAAAAAAGATTGATGGTGACTCTTTAAAAGTTAATATCTAATGATAAATCTTCGAATCTAGACGTCATGACAATAATTTAGCCTAATTTTCATTTGAGCTGGATTATTACAGTCATGTTGGGTTAAAAGATTTTAGGCCGATAGATGTGCATGACACGACTTATTAAGAGCCAGTGGCAGCACATGGCATGTGGGTTGCACGGCACGGCACACAAACCCAACCGTGGCACGCATGTTGGCCTATTATTATTATAAGTGAGTTTTTAACCTTTGAATGTAGTTACGTTATTTTTTATATTGTAATAAAATTATACTTACTTTTCATTTTTTTGGTAATTTATATTTAATTTAACTAGTGATTAGCAAAAATAAAATGACAAATAAATTAAGACTTTAAATTAAGTACAAATTCAATTAACAAAGTAAATTATTTTTGGATGAAAGTTATAAAATAGATGTACAAAACAATATATTATATAAGTGAATCATCCAATGATGAGAATGAAAATAAGAATAATAATCTTTTATCTTATAATATCTTTTATATGTATGTGTTTGTTTTTTAAAATATTAGGATTGTAATTTCAATATTTTTACTTAGTGAATTTTATTATCCCTTTTCATAGATGTAAAAATGTCATTTTTATTTCATTTTATTTTTATTTATCTCCATTTGTTGTTATAATAATAGATGAATTTTTTTTAAATAATTAAAATTTTGAAAAATTATTAATGAGTTATGCTTGGTCCATTTTAACATGAAAAACAGTGTTGAGCTTGGCACGATACGACCAATGAAGTTTACGGGCCATGTGTGGTACCAAGCTTTACCCTTAATCTTCACATGCCGTACTAATATAACACATTAAAAAATAGTGGTAAATCAATACAATTTATTAACACATGAACTAATATTTAAATGGATTATACCAACTTAAGATGAGTCATTTGACACCTCTAAATATACTAAGGACCCAAATCTGAAAATGCTAATACTACTTTCAGCAGCAGCTTAAGAGGGAATCTTCTGGTTCTGGATGAAGACGGTCTCCATTGAGAGCCACTACTCAAATATTTTAACCTCTACGCTTTGAGAGTTGATTGAAGATAAGGATTCAAAACTTTATAAATTCAAACTATTTTCTGACTTTATGAAAGAAAAAGGTACTAAAAAGTTGGACCAAACCTAAAGCCTGAGAAACCAAGTGGAAGAGACAGTCACAGATTTTCTGCAGTCTGTATTCTGTCTTGAAAAATTCATAACCAATGGCCATTTGGTGCGACTATGAGAGACCGAAAACAGCAAAACTTGCTCCAAGTTGGTTTTTTTTTTTTTTTTTTTTTTTTAAATTTAGCAAGGAGATTTTTTTGTCCGATATATATTTTTTAAGTTTAAATAAATTTATTTACGTTGAATTTAATAAATTTTAAAAAATAATTTTTTATAATTTTTTAATAAATTTAAATTGAAACAATATAAAAATACAATTTTGCCATTATTTGAACCCAAGGAAGGGATCTACGTAGAAGCATGTGGGGACAGTTGCCCCCACTGAGTTCATAAATTCTTATGGGTTTATTATAAAAAATATCAAAAGTTTTGAAATTTTAAAATTTTACTCTTATAAAAAATCTTTGTGATTATATTTGCCCTCACTAAATTAAGGTTCATACATGAAAATTTTCATTATTTATCTAATAATTGACCATTAGCACTTTGAGTGCTAAGCAATATCATTATAATATATATAGACTTATATATATATATATATTTAGTTTGTAAAAAATAAAATAAATTACTTTTAAAGAGTTTGAAATTACTAAACTTCTAATTTCTCATAATAATTTGTTTAGATTGATGCAAACTGATCTTATAAAGATAATAAGATATAGAGCTTAGACTACTTAAATGATTTAACCACTTTTTAACACAAAAAAATTACATAAAAAATATGAAGTAATAAAATAAATAATCATCTTTATTCTTCTTTTCATTGTATGTGAGAAAAGAATAATTTTTTATTTTTCAAATTATAATGAATAAAATCCAAATATATTTGTTTATTAAAAATAAATGATAAAACTAGACATTAAAAGTAAATAATAAAATTAGAAATATTAATTTTTATTTCATTTTTTCACATATTATATTTATTTTTAAGAATTTTGCAAGTAAAATTTTATTAAATTAATATATCTATATATATGTATCTATTATAATAAATAATTTATCTAAATAGTATTTAAGTTATATTCGTCAAAAATCATATAATTAATTATGTAAATATTATTTATATTGCAAAACAATTTTTTTTCATTTACAAAAAATATTATACATGCTAATTTTATTTATAATTTTTAAAATTAATTTATATTTTAATGAAAAATTTTTAAATTAACTTAAAATATTTGTTCCACTGATCATGAATCCTAGTTCCGTCCGTGCTTGAACCAACGTTAATAGTTAAGTTAGCTTAAATTAAGTTGTACTTTTCACATTATAGATATTGCAAATTGTTGGTAAGTTGGCTTAAATTATGTTATCCTTTTCACATTTAGATATTAAAATAGTTGCAGAGCATTGGCAGGGTTTTTTGGACAGTGTTTGTCCTGACCCATCTGACAATTAGAAATCAGCATGTGCTTTTTACTTAAAAAATTGAACTATTATTTTAGATGTAGTTGACATATAATATTATTTTAAGATATAATAAAATAATCTATTAATCTCAAAAATAGTTTATAAATTATAATAAAAAATTTAATATAATATTTAAAATTTAAAAATATTTAATATTATATATTGACATTAACCTAGTAATTAATATGATAACTCATAAAAAATATAACTAGTTTCAATATATAATATGTAATAAACAATCTTTTTATTATAATTTTAATTAATAAATTCATAATTCATATATTACATTAAATATTTAATTATAATTTAAATAACATTCATGATATCAAACTTAAGATGATATTATAAATAAGATTAAATTTAATAATATTATCTTATATTGTGTTTGATGTGTTCAAAATTAAGATAAAATAATTTTATTTATTGGTTAATATTAGTTTTTTTCTTAAATTTATAAATTAAAATTATTAATATAATTTTTAAAAGTATAATAAAATATGTACATTCAATTTCATAAATTAAAAATAATCTTCACTTTAAAAATATTAAATCATTTTATACTAAAAAAATTAATTCTCATTATAATATATTTTTTAAATACAAATTAAATATAATATAAAAAATTATCATCATATTCTATTTTATCCATTATCAAATATTACCGATTTTGACAATCACAGCGTTGCTTTGTCGGTATTAAAGTGCCTGCTATGGCTTTTCGCACAAGCCCGCAGCAGATGTATAAGGAATAAAGACTGGCCCATTGAAGCTACTTCGGAACATCACGTTGGCTAGGTCCAAAAACATGGCGGTAGTTCCTTACTATTTTGCAGCCCAAGTAGGAAAGTTAGCTTAAACCATTTGCTGTACACAAATGAGAATGACAAATCCAATGGCTTTTGGCAAGCTTGTTGCAGTATTTGATGGTATTCTGAGACCTTATTTTCTGGGTTTGACCTGTCGAAAGTAGAATATGTGCAATGCAATCCTGTTATCAAATATTACCGATTTTGACAGTCACAGTGTTGCTTTGTCGGTATTAAAGTGCCTGCTATGGCTTTTCGCACAAGCTCGCAGCAGATGTATAAAGAATAAAGACTGGCCCATTGAAGCTACTTCGGAACATCAGGTTGGCTAGGTCCAAAAAAATGGCGGTGTTTTCCTTACCATTTTGTAGCCCAAGTGGGATAGTTAGCTTAAACCATTTGCTGTACACAAATGAGAAATGATAAATCCAATGGCTTTTGGCAAGCTTGTTGCAGTATTTGATGGTATTCTGAGACCTTATTTTCTGGGTTTGACCTGTCGAAATTAGAATATGTGCAATGCAATCCTGTTTTCTTATTGGTCATCTCTCATATAAACTTCATTATTCTCAATTCCTAGAAGAGTATTATTGCAATTATACACAACTATAGGGATTAAATAATAGAAACAGAGAAGATTATATGCTAAAATACAATTACAAATACTATTCTATCAAACAGAGTGGCCAATCATTAATGGAGATTATTTTCTCTCCATGACATTTTTAGTTGTAAACACAGCTCCCATCATCGCTTCTAGCAGTTGGATCGAAGTTTGCCGCTGATGGGTCAGTGCAGCCTTCAGGAACAGGAAGATTAACCTGCTGAGCTGCTTTGCCTGCATCCAAACAATTATGAAAAGCTTAATTATATATTCTTTTATATCCTTTGTTGTTTTTATTTATTTATAATCCTAAAGCCAGATGCAAAGCCACCATCAAGGCCTCTAGGGTCAGGGGTCTAACCATAGAAACTTCCGTTCTTGAGAGCATCATCATTAGCATCTCCAAGAGCTGCCTCTTTCAAGTACTTATCAGCCAACTGTACTCTCTTCACATTCTCCTGTTCTTGGACAAGCATGTTTCCATACTCAAGTAGCTTCCCAAAAGTCATTTTGGGCTGCTCAAAAGTTGGAGGTCCTTCCTTTGAATTCACAAGCCTTTTCCCAATATTTTCTACTCCAACTTCTGAAATCCATTTCCTCACTTCATCATCATATACTCTTGCCCTGAGCGCACCAAAGAAATCTGCCACAAACTTGAAGATATTAGTATTCTCCCATCAAATTCATGTTTGCACTTAATAGAAAGTATCCTTAAGGTGAGGAAGGCTTACCAATTGATTGTCCAGGGAAAGTGTCAACAAGCTTGATAATGTCTTCCCTAGGAACATGGTCTGTTCTGAAAATACCAGAGCACACACCAATCCTATCTTCCCGAGTAGGGGCCCAGTAGAATTTCTCCATACGGCCATCACGGATGAGAGGAGCATACAATGTGGAGAAGTCATTACCGGTAACTATGATAGGAACACGAGGGTTCTCTTCCTTGTTGTACATACCAGGGAGCTGAACGTTTGTTGGGTTATCGGCAATGTTCATAAGCGTAGCATTCACCATTTGATTGTTAACAGTGTATTGGGTGGTTCCACCCATCCTTCCAGCACCTGCATCAAGATCGTTGATAAAGAGGCAGCACATCTTTCCCTTCCTGATGATGTCTGCTGCCTCACGGTACCTTTGTCTAATCAATTTTGCAGGCTCTCCAGCATTTCCGCTTTCCAATTCACCAGCACTCATCATAATGGGACTGAATATTCATTGTCATAAGATTAAAGAGTAAGGATCTAAATGAATGTTTGAAGGTTCTAGTCTTTCGCAATTCAAGCACCTTCTGTCACACATGTTTGTCAAGACAATTACTAATAGGCTCATAATTTTCAATTCTCTACATATTTTTCAACAATTTTCCTGAATTGTTGAAGAAAAGGTAACAATTAAAATATTAACTTACTTGATTCCCATCTTGGCAAAAACAAGCTCACATTGGAATGATTTCCCTTGACCTTTACCTCCCCAAATACCCAAGATGAGAGGAACCTATCACAGTTATTCACAAATTATCCAATTTTCTTGATATTCAACAAGATAATATAGCTGATTAAACAAATATCAAGACGTTGTATGAACAAACCTTAATGTTTGGCAGGTTCAAGAAGTTTTTGGTGATGTGAACAACAACCTTGTCCATAAATGCAGGAGCAATATAGAACCCATCCACACTATTGTCCATGTTGTACCTACACATAATTCAGCAATGTTCATATTCAATCCCACAACAATCTTACACTGCAATTCCACCAATTAGTCTTAAATTTGCATAAACGTTTTCGTTGAAATTCCTTAGCCACTTACATGCGAAGACCTTGACTGATGTAGTCATAAGAACTCATGATAGCATGGTGAGTTCCAGTCCCCATAGGAGCCTGGAAGAGTGTGTCCACCACTCCCTTTCCTCTGGTAATATCCTGTTGGTCATCAGATTCATCGTAGGCAAGTCCCTTCCACCTGTCTTTTGAGGTCTGCTTTGACTCATCATATTCAGCAACAACCTTGAAATTCTTGGGAAAAACCTTCTCGTGGCTGATCTTTGAGGTAACCTTCTTCAGACAGTTTCCCAAGAATGCTGAGCTTGGAACTGACGCTCCAGCACCAGAACCATTCAAGTTCAACTGCAACAAAGACACCCTCTTTTTTACTACAACATCGCAAGATTGTAATAAAGTAACTGAATCCATATCCTTATGATCTTCTTCTTAATTGTTTATAAACTAGAAATTTAAAAAATAAACAGATGATTAGAAATACATTTAATTTTCCATTTTCTTCTCTAGTTGATGCAAGACGCAGAAGCTAAAAGACGATTAAAACAATGAAAAAAGACAGTTAAAGGTCAACAAAGTCGAGAGATGTTACGGTGATGACTAAGACAAAAGCAAAAGAAATAGGCGGGAAAAAACATAGTATTACGTACCGGCAGTCTGTTAAAAGCTCCTACGGTTGAGACAGCAGTAGCCATGACTCAACGGCTGAGATCAGACTTAGGAAAGTTTTAAATGGCAACAAGACGAAAATGAAACTGAAAAAACTCAAAACAGTTTTTGGCGTGTTGTGTGTTTTGGAGATGAAGATTGGTTTGGTGAGGGCTTTATAGGGTAGAGTTATTGGAGTGGGAAAAATCCTGTGGATTGGCTTACGAGTTGGATAACGGCCACACATTTACGATTTGGAGTTTTTATTGCGTGGCACTTGGTGAGGTTGACGTTGGTTTTGGAATACGGGGGCTTTTACCACTGCCTAGTTTTGGTTACAAACAAAATGGAGGCTTCTCGGAGCAATGCTCCTTTTGAGGTTGGGGTGTAAGCATATAATTTTTTAATTTTTTTATATTTGAACTGTTAAATGATTGAACTTTAGTTTTTTTTTTTTTTTTTAAAGCTCATAAAATTTGGATTTTAATAACTGAAATCAAAATTTAATACTTTATTTAAACGAATGAAACTCGAATTTTAATTTTTAAAACTAAGATATTCGCGCTTTATTAAAGAATCATGTATCTGTTGGCTTTCTCTTCTAATTTTAAAACAAAAAAAAGTAGGATATGGTTTTGGATTAAACAATTAAAGAACTTGTTAACTATGGCCTTCGGCTTTATTTTACTATAACTGAGAAAGAATTTCAAAGCAAAATCTACTTGGAATTGGAATTTATAAATTTTGAAAAGATAAAAAGAAATTAACTCAGGATCTTGAAGAGCAGATTCAAAGTCAAGCTCTTGTCTGTTTTGACATCTCAAAACTAAGTAGGAAAATTAACTTGATAACATCATCATTTGTTGCATTACATGATCATTAAGAACTACTATGTTCGAAAATAAAAAAATTGCTTAGGAGCTTTGTTTTCAAACTATCCCTTACCCGCAAAGGAACATGACTTGTCAGAAGAAGATGCAGCTCTCCCAAAGTAAATTAAATTGAATCGAGAGCCCGGAATTGAAGTTGTCAGTTATCAGAGTCTTGGCACTATTACTTGCTGTTGTTATAGACATGGTATCAAAGCTAAAGCTTGCCAAGATAGCGAGAAGAAAATATGTTTCTAATTCTTGATTATTGAAGTTGGATAGGAAAAGCCAAAAGAGAGTCTTACTTTCATAGATTTATCAATTACCAGTAATTCTAGTTCTCAATCCTCTTCTTCTAGATCTTTTTTTAGTTTGTCTTTTCTTCCTTCTTTGTACTTAAAAAATCTTCTTTTAAGTTAAAGTTTTTATATAAAGTAGATTATATCTCAGAAGAAACAAAAACCCAACAAACAGTTCTTTCCCTTGTAAATCCTTATACAACTTTCTCAAACTCCTCCCTTTCTCTTACTAGATCTTTAAAAACTCTTTTAAAACCAAAATACCAAGCTCCAAAAGAATATGTTCAAGCAACAAACTTTTATCAATGTATTCTTCCAACAAGACCTCAAGAGCACTTTGTTACTCTTTAGATTCTAAAAAAATTTTCTCAACAGTGGTCAGAACAAGGATACACTCATATCCACTTTGGTGCTATCAGAATAGCCTTAACCTTTCACAACAAAAATGGTATTCCTGTATGTACCAAAATGACTTTGTTGGACACAAGATTCAAAGAATACAAGCATGCAGTCTTTGGTACAGTTGAGACGACACTCAATGCAAGAACTGTCTTATTCACAGTCTTCTTAAATTATAATATATCTCTTAATGATCCAACACTGTTAGATGCTTTAAAAGTTCAAGTCTAAATCGTAAGCACAGAGATGAAAGGACTCTAGGCAACCCTTCACTATCAGATGGCATATAGAGTTCAAGACTATGCCATTAACTTGCCTCTTTCACACTCTGATGATGTTGTCTTTGTCAAAATGGAAGCAGCAGACATGACTCCTAGACATGTTCATATTCTAAAGCAGATCTCAAATGAAAAACTTACCACATTTCTCCCAAAAACATGGATGACAAGTTATCAAAAGATTTGGAAGCAAGATGAACCAATTCAACACTTTGATCCAACCTACAAGACAAATCAAGATGGTACTATCACAATTGAGTTTGATCACAGCAAAAGAAAGGACATTCCTCCTCCAACAATCTTTCCAACATAATTCATGATGCAAAAATGTCAAGCTGATCCCCTTGATGCTCCAGTCACACATTTTCAGTCCAATGAAAATTCTGTATATGCATACAGATCTTCATAAGGACATTGTTATTGGGACATAAATTGCAAATGCAAAGAATGCTAGATAAACGCATATAGAAGCTTCCTGGATGATGATGATGATATTTCAAAAAGCCAAAGAAGAAAAAGTCTTCCCAATAAAAGCTCAAAGAAATATATGAGAATTGAGACCTTGAAGTTGATCTCATTAGTGAGCCCTTATGAAAGTTTGACTACTATGTCATCTATCCGAAAAAAAAAAAATAACTCCCTCAAACTTGCCCAAATCAAACCACACAAAAACTAGATTCCACCAAACCTTTACCTCAAATTTTCATGATGCAACCCACCTACCTAAGTTCAGATTTCTCTTCTTTCCAAGAGTTTTATAAAGACCAATACAAACACATTCTAAAGATCCCAAATTCCACTGACAGAGATGAATGTGGGAATCAAAAAAGTGTTTATTGTGCTGAAGTAGTTTTAAATTGGTAAACTGAAAATTCTCTCCACTAAAATGCATACCTATACAGAATTGAACACAAGTTAGACCAAGTTAGTCATCACTTCAATCAGAGCCTTATCAATCTTCAAAATATTATTCTTGAAATACAAACAAGGATAATAACTCTTGATTAAGAACTCAGATATATGGTTAAAACCAACATTGGATTCACTTATGCTTTCATTGAACGAGAGAAAGAAATGAAGAACTTAAAGATTCAACTTACAGACCTTCAAAATTAGTTTTGACAGAAATAACAACAACCATAAGGAACCTCTAACTACAATATATTCACACCACTCAACACTAGCATGCATGACACCCTTTACCAAGCCTATACCCCTTCTCTTTCTTTTCAACCATACAATCCTCCAACCTCACCTCTAAAATCTTTCTTCACACCTTTTCAGTATAAACCTCTCTCAACATCCATAACAACATCCTCACAACCAACACAATACTTTACTCTTATATCAGACCAACTAGAACAACCTTATTTTGGTACAACTAAAAAATAGATCCATAGATTTTGAAAAAAATAACCAGTTGATCCAAAACCAAAATCAAGTTCAAGTTTTACACCTCAAAACCTTACACCCTAACCAGACCAAAAACCTGTACAACTCATGATCTCTCATACACAAATTCTTTCAAAAATGCTTCATCAAATGGCACAAGATAATTTCTCTCAATTTTTTTTGAAAATATTTTTTCTTCTACTTTTGAGACTGAATCCCATATGAAAATTGTCAAAATCAATAACATCTCAATCCCTATAGAACTTCCCATTTTCAAGAAAGAATCATGGTGGTGGTACTCTCCAGAATACATTCAAAAATTACACAATCACTTGGCACATTAGACCTCTGAACCACCCTACAACACTTGGTGGAGTGATTTATCCCAAAGACTTGTTAATTTTGATCTCCACATTTCTTTAGAGCTAGCTGAACTTTCAACAAATCCTTACTGGCAGAATGAAGAAGATCTTTTCAGATTTAGAGCAAGATTTAAACACAGGATCTACAATTACCTATTCCAATGTTATGATTCCACCTAGAGGATTTTGAACAATAACTATTCTAGTGGGTAGATGATTGTCTCGTTCTCCAATACCTTAAAGATTTTTTAGAATAATAATAATGCTCATATCAGAAAAACACTCATGGTTCTCCAAGATAAAAAAATTCTCTATTCTAGTCCAATTATGTATAATTACGTGTGATAATTTTTAGTTTCTTCAAAAGACTTCAAAAGTTGATAATGATGTCTCTATATCAAGATAACTTTATGTCAAATCAAGTTACTTTTATGTCTAGTCTACTTTTAGTCAAGTCATGTATACTTTATGTCATGGTCATCTTTACTTTGTGTCAAAATAGTGATGAGTTATGGTGATGAGTCATCTTATTTTAGCTTTATGTCAAGTCATTTGTAAAGTTGTAATCATGCTTTGTCTTAGCTTTATCCTCTTAAGTTACTATTCTTTTACTTTTTTCTTGTATAAATAAGATGCTCCTTCTTTAATAAGGCATCATAAGTTATAGTTTTTCTTATAAGAAATCATTTCTTTATAAAAATATGTTTGGCTAAAAATCTCTCTTTTTTTTTGGTAATTCATTCTCTTTTTTTCCATAATTAAAGTTTTAGTTTCATGTTCTTTTCAAGCCATTCATAATTTACAATGATATAAGTTGAGTATGCTCTGCAGTTACCATAATATTATGGATCTTTTGCATCAGAAATTCTTGTTAAGCTTTTAAACAGATCATTGATTCTTTCCCTCAGCCAAAGAAAAGTTATACTGAACCAAGATCGTACTAAAAATAAGTTACTATAGTGAAAGATATATCTCCATAAAAGTCAGGTCACCAGTTTGACATTAAGCTAAGAGGGCGCTAGAGTCTTGAACACCAACTAGAATACATTAGTTATATGTCTAATCTATGAAACGTTTATGTTTGGTATTATCTTGACAAGTTAACCGATCTGCATACTATTAAAAAATAGTATCAGATAGTATTGTCACAATTTTACCACTTAGAAAGCCTGAAACTGAAGTCGTCAGTTACCAGAGCCTTGGCACTACTACCTGCCGCTGTGTCAGAAATGGTATCAACAAAGGGATGGGAGCTCTATAAACTTCTCACTTTGTTCAATGTAGCGTGGCAAAATGCAAAGCCAATAAGAATTCATTTGTTTCGTTTCTAAGTACATGTGTCATAATCCTAAGACAACTCTCATTATCTCATCCTCTGTTATGACCTATTTGGTTTGGGCATGTACTGGAGTGACTGTGAGCAACTTGTCATGAGTAATTCTTCACTATTGTGATCCTTTTCTTGAGAAAAAAAATCCAAGGCTACTTACA